TATGTTTACTGTAAGGTAAACACTGCAATAAAAACTGGAAACATGTGTTTAAGGCAATCTGCTTTCCTTGATCACTTATATTAGACCAAGGGACTGTCCTCTGAGTATAGCTTCACAGACACATATGTGTGTGGGCAGAGAGGAAAATTGCTTAATCTTAAGCTCAGCTTTGGTAAACCAGCCAATGTTTGGGTCTCCTCTGGGTTCTCTGGTTTCCTCCTGCAACCCAAAACAAACTGGTATGAAATCCAAATGTGCGTGTCTATGTGACTGCATTAGAACCTCATGGGCAAGGCCTAGGTGAATTAACTCAACAGTGTGATATGAATAAAGGACATGAATAAATATCAGTCACTTCTTAATTCTTGTTTTTTTCTCACTCCAGGTGTCCGGACGGAACAAGATCTCTTTGTCAGACTTATTGACTCTGTGACCAAACAAGTGAGTTCCACTTTTAATGTTTATATAATGCTAAGGGCCTGTTTACTCCAACCAGCCACACTGAGCAGCCGCTGGTATGCGCTGATCCCGCCGTATAGCACTGTTTACTTTTTCAAACAGTCATATTCACCACGGCAGTGTTGTGATGGAGTGGTTGGCATTGCAACACTCTGAGCTGAAAAAAAAAATGACGGCATGGCATACCGATCACATTGAAAGCTTTTTGGCTTTGGCTTGGCCATGCCTCAGGACTGCTCTCGGCAAGGCTGCCAGTGCGGCTCTAATGCATCTGATGTGATCAGGCCCTAAGTGTAATGTTGTTTTAGGATAGGTTTTCACACCCGGGATTTACTCTCTCTGCTGCCCCAATGCCAAGTTCCTCAATGCACCCCCATGTATGCAGGCTGCATACAAGGGATCTCGGCGACATTGCCGAGATCACTTGTACAAAACAAACGGCGGCTTCCCCACTGTACATTTAGCTCTGCTTGCCCAAAGCAGGGCTAAATGTAGAAAACAGCTACCCGCCCGGAACCTATAACTGCATGTCCTGGGCTTTGGGAGAGAGGAATTCCAAACCCCTGCTGCCCCTCTATTCCCTGCTGGCCCGAGGCCGGGCCTCTGTTGGCCTTGTGGGAAATCCGACCCTGTTCACACCTAACCGTCGAGGTTTGCTTGCGGTAACACACTTTTTGGCTTGGCCATGCATCAGCACTGCTCTGGGCCTGGCAGCCAGTGCAGCCTAAATGCTTTTGATGTGAACAGGCCCCAAGAGTAATGTAGTTAAGGCACCTAACCATTGAGGTGTGTTGCACAGGCCATTCAAAATGAAATTCGAAAAAGAATTCGACCTGCACCATTTATGGCTGTGCACTGCATTGCATGTTAGCATCAGTGCATGGGTGAAATGCATTGGGTTGACGTTCAGAATTCAGAAAATATAGTGTGGATGTGCCTCATCTTGGAATGAATGCCACTGCATGGCACCATTGCAAGTGGCGTGCTGTGCATCAATGCACAGGGGAACGTGCACATTCCCACAACATGATGACATGAATAGGGTTCAATATTTCCTTGAAAGCTTTAATGCTTACCAGTGAAAAGCAGTTAAACTTATGTCAGAAGAGACACATTGTATAACTGTGTCCAATACACTAACTGTGCATCATAGTGATATAGTTAATGTATGTTACCCTGTTTACAAGTTTGTATAAAGTTATCATTATCTGGAAAAGTACAAATATCCAATGGTCTGAGAATATAGGTTATACCCAAGAACAGACGTGTGACCACACACAGCATGCTCTATTTACTCTGCATGCAAAAGTCTTGCATTACATGCATTACAGACCCCCAGATTGGAGGCTTCCGATCAGTGTCATACAATGGGCTTTGAGACAAAGCAAAGGGGGAAGGGGGATCTTTTTCTCATGAAAGGTCTCTGTTACAGTAACTATACCCTACAAATCAATAGTGATGCAACCTGCTTTTTCGATGAGTTCATCTTTTTGGTACGAATAATAGGCTCACCATATTATCCACCTTTTAATAAGAATTATACATAGTTAGTACAAATTCCGGTTATAATTTGATATGATGAGTATTAATGAATTGATCTCTCTACTTACAGCCAATAGCGTATGAAGGACAGAACAAAAACCCAGAAATGTGCAGGGTCCTCCTCACACATGAGGTCATGTGCAGGTACGAATGGAACCAGTGGCCTTTTGTTACATTTTATTGTCCGTAAGGTCTTATTAATAGAATTATTGGAAGGAGGAATTGTTCTTGTTGGCCGAAGCATCTATATGGATGCTCCATTTTATTTTCAGATGTTACAATGGAAACATGATAAGAAGCGCCTGGTTGTTTGCTATGGGTGGCTCAAACGGCTCTAACTTTGGACACTATTTACATGAGTTCCAATCAGTGTCACTTACTCCAATCAAGGCAACATATTTCTGAATATAGTAGATGAACCCAAATGAGCTGCCTTGGGATGTGTGGAGGTCACAGGACCACTTTACATATACCTATGCTTTGGTTTTACTGTTGTGTGTCCTGCAGACAATTAAAGTGACCCCATAATGAGAGAAGTACAGGGGCTGCCATTGCTGGCCTTATTTCTTTACTTGTTCCAGGTCAGTCACTCAAGAATCTTTGAAGTCAATGCATCAGCATGAAAGCCAGGCAGCTAGCATTTTCAGAAGGAATAGTTATCAATGGCATCCTTCATGAATCTCTGGCAGCCTCTGCCAGACTAATTTCACATTCAGAATTCTCTAGCTGATAATTTAATAAGGATTTGAGCATAAAGCAAGCAATGTAGGTAACTGCAGAGCATATTATATGCTTCTATTTTCTATTAATTTACTAAGGAAAGGTGAAGAGGGGTAACTTAATAAATGGCATATAATTATTTACTTGATAGGGAGTTATGAGTAAAGACTCATAACCCCTATCAAGTCAATAAATATTATTATTATTTTTTGTATTATCATTATTATTATTTTTTTTTTAAATAATAATAATAAGTATTATTATTTATTGATAATCCTTATTATTATTATGATTGCTATTATTATTACAACAATACTGATGAGTTGTATACCCAATGACTGCATCAACGACTTTGATATACATCTGCCTTTTATTTTCAATACTCTTTGGGAACAAGACTGTCATCTGTCCTTTTTCTAACAGGTATCTGTTACCCCTCAAGATAGATAAACTATAAGGCTGGAGTTAATAGCGTCTCTATTTATATATCATGTAGCCATTTAGCTCAGCCCTGACTCCTTACTGATTCAGTCCAGGAACAAAAGGCTAATTAGTAACTGCACCCAATTAGTGACTTGTGCCTCATCTTAGATCAGATAATTGTCATAGCTTTCATTAGAAACTTTTCGAACTCTAATGTCACACCACAGAAAGGTTCTGCCACTGGAGACTGATGAAAGTAGAGCTGCTAACTCTTTCTAGTTAAAAAAGGAAGCAGGGACTAAAAAATATAGCGTGGATGTGTATTAGCAGATCTGCCAAGGGATCATCGGCCCAATGTAAAATGCTAGTTTAGTGCACTTTTGGAAGATATATATCAGAAGATAAATGTTGAGAGGCTTTTTAGGGTAGGACCTTTGGCATCAAGACCACTAAGGGGGCACTATCGATAAATCTGATCATGAACCTGGGTCTTGGACTTGGAATTAAAACCTAGGTCTTGAACTGGGTCTTGGACTTGGGATCAAAACCTGGGTCTTGGACTTGGAAATCAAAAACTGGGTCTTGAACAGGGTCTTGGATTTGGGATCAAAAACTGGATCTTGAACTGGGTCTTGGACTAGGGTTCAAAACCTGGGTCTTGAACTGGGTCTTGGACTTTGGATCAAAAACTGTATCTTGAACAGGGTCTTGGATTTGGGATCAAAAACTGGATCTTGAACTGGGTCTTAGACTTTACAATGATAGTGGCTAGTAAACTAACATCTACTCTTGAAAGCCAAGGAGAGCTCACTGAGGCCTACAAAGGAGGCCTACGAATGAGTCCCAGAGATGCGTGGCTGCTTCACCAGCAAGTGGTGGAAACCATACCATAACACCCCCCCCCCACCCCCCCCCAAACTTTGGATCAAAAACTGTATCTTGAACAGGGTCTTGGATTTGGGATCAAAAACTGGATCTTGAACTGGGTCTTAGACTTTACAATGATAGTGGCTAGTAAACTAACATCTACTCTTGAAAGCCAAGGAGAGCTCACTGAGGCCTACAAAGGAGGCCTACGAATGAGTCCCAGAGATGCGTGGCGTCTTCACCAGCAAGTGGTGGAAACCATACCATAACCCCCCCCCCCACCCCCCCTGTAAACTGTGCATACAATTAGAGCTGTTTTTCTGTCATTTGAAGATAAACCAATAACAAGAATTTCGTTTGATTATATTATCCGTAACAACCAGACATATTCCAACAAACTAAAAAAATATCCATCATTGCACCTCATTGCAAAGTGCCTGTTATAAAATGGCAACAAGCTCTTCACTAGGAAGATGCTTCAGTAAAAAACCTAAAATCATTTGTCTCCAATTTAGTAATACTAGCTTCTACATGATCCTTACTGGTTGTCTAAAGGGTGTGACAATGTCAGATCATTTGTAATACTGACGAAATCTCTGCACATGGATAGCCAACATTGGGCAATAAAATTGCCCGTTGACTGCAAAACAATTAAAACAGCACCTGGTGCCTGCAGCAGGTAGCTACTGAGAAGATATGGTGGGCCCTGTGGCACATTAGTATCTTTTGCGGTACGTTGTGTCTGTTCGGTGACAATGTGAAAGGACATTTTAATGTGTGGCAGACTGATGGGAGGCTGGGTAAAGACTACAGCTGCTTAATAAGAGAGACACTGACAGGCTGCATCGCTCACAGCTGGGACTCAGCACTGGGCTGGGGCGGCTGCTGGTCACCCTGTCCTCCTCAGACAGATGGTGGGAATTTATACACTTTTGTTATGCAATCAGCAGGAACAGAATGCAGCACAAAGGCTGACGGCAGACCTGCCCTGGTGCTCAGTGTGTCTGCAGAGTAATGTGTGGGTGCACAGCTCGGTGTCTGGACAGTATTTTCAGGTCAACTCGATGGCATGACCTGCTCTGTTGGTGTGACATTGGTATATATCTGCCAATATTTTTCTGTCCAGGGATACTGTGCTGCTCAGTTGACCTTTCTTAGAGCATCCTCACACAATAACATCTCCGAATGGCAGAGTACCTTATGGGATCATGCACCAGTAGCTTCAGAATATAAAGAAACAGGATTTACTTGATGGAACATTGCATCCAAAAGTGATCTTTTAACTATAGATGGAGTCGGTCCCTGGTTTCAGATGCGTCTTGGGCAGTCAAGTACAGAAATCTCCCTTTTTGTATTTCCTGGCTTTATTCCTATCCACCTGAGGCCAGGTTCACACCTAGGTGATAGCGGTTGTCGTGCGGTTTTTGTGTGGTTTTCGTGCGTTTTATTTTAGCGATAACGCGTGTTTTGTTCTTCATAGAGATGTACAGGTGTCCAATCAGAAGCAGAAACAGCCATTACTTAAGTTCTTGTTGTTGATCCTGTCATATGGTGTGTCATGCTGTAATTGTGCGATTATCGCTCGCAAATCGCCTATTGAACAGAACCTGCGATTTTTCAATGCAAGTCTATGGGACCCAAAATGTGCGACAATCGCCCAAAAATAGCTCCTGCACCTTTTTGCATGACAGGCGATTTCTACAGTGTGACAAATTGCAAAGCTGTGAACAACTTCCATAGACTTCAATGCAATTCTGTGTTTTGTGCGATTACGCGCGGCTAAGTCCGCGCCATAAATCGTCTAAGTGTGAACCAGGCCTGAGAGTTTTGGGGGTTCCATCCCAACTCTATGTGTTCCAGCACATCCTATAGCATTTTTCATAATAAAAAACAAATAGAAAATCCGAAAGGGAGAGTGGGATGGCCACAGCAGGTGTATAGACCCAATAGCCCAAGTGCACAACAAAATACTTGCTTGTTGAGATACTGGACTGGCCCAGAGTCAAATATACTGTACCTCTGAATCTGCCACAGACATTAGAAGGTGTTTGGACGTTCAGAGATTGATCTGACAGGGCAGCCACCAAAAACATAGGACCATCATCCATCTGCAAACCACCAGGTCAGGTGACTATCATCTCATGTCTATAAGCTGCTTTAGAGCCCCACTAAGTAGATGTTTATACTTCATAGGAAATAATACTTTTGATTGTTCATGTAGCAAGTATTCGATTGCCTTAGGATATCAGGAATACAATTTTTTTCCTATTTAACCAAATTTGATCACACTATATAATGTTTTTTTGCCTTCCTCTAGACCAGCCTTTCTATGAATTACTAAGGTTCTTTCAATGGTTGCTAGGGGTTCCTTGAGCAATGAGCATCTGACTCTCAGATAAGCTACCACTGACACATATGATCTTTTTAGACATCTGTAAGGGGACATTCTTCCCACTGACCACCATTGTAAGGGAAATTCTTCACACTGGCCACCATTGTAAAGAAAAATTCTTCCCCCTGATCATTGTATGGGGGTACTTCTCTCATGACCATCAGTGTACTTTTCAAGTGAACACCAATGTAATGGGGCACTACAATGTTCACTGTGTTACTTTTGTGGGCCCTTTAAACTATTTGTATAATTTCCTTATTATTACTGAAAATAGTAAAGTCATATGGAGCAGCCATGGATATGAGATATGTTATGTACGCCACATTCTTTATTCTTTTATTTATCTTTACATCTACAGTAAAAGCTGGCCATACACCTCAAGATTTTACTCATTCAGCCCTGCATAGTAAAAATGAGAAATCACTTGATTTCCCCACCCACGCTAAAGAGCGTAGATGGAGGAATCTCCCCAGCCTGCTATTGTATTGTGCTGGAGTGGTTGGTGCCCACAGGGCCACCCACGGGTTGAATTTTGGCCAATTCAGCAAGAAACATTCAAAATTAAATCCATGTTTGGCTGGCTTTACTGTTTATGCTAATGTCTCATGAGCTGTAGACATAATAATTATTAGCAAGGGTTCCCTAAGACCTGAAAGTTATGACAAGGGTTCCTCCTTGATGAAAAGGTTGAAAAATTCTGCTGTAGTTCAGCTTTAGGATTCTGAGAATTTGGGTTTTTAATATACTTATTTTAGGTTTTTTTTGGTTGAACTCCATGGACATGTTTCTTCTTTATAACCTGGAGGATAACTATGTAACAATGTATGAAAATGAAATGTGAAATCAAGGTGCATGAAAAAACTAAAATCATTTTATGAACTGGAACCCAATACGTTCCTGCGTGGTGCTTAGCTATTTCTTGGCGAACAAAGAAATAATCTTTCATTACACTGGGCACCAGATCTGCCTCCTGTGAATATGGGCACATTAAATGCTCAGAGGTGAGCGTCGTCTGTACCTGCCAATTTTGTTCTATGAGTGCTCTGAGATCCAGCCTGCTCCGAAGGCTTTATAGCGTTGTGAATCATACTTAATGCCCTACTGGGGTTAATACACCATTGGGTCATGATTCTCTTAATATCTATCACATATTTTTTAATTTTTATTATTTTCTATGTTAAATCTCATTAAGTCTCAGGCAATGGGAGGTGATAACAACATAGAGGAAGCGTTCAGAGTCATAATCATGCTGGCCATAGAGTGATATCGCTAAGTAGGAATTCAACTTAAAGGGAAGGGTGAGGGTAGAAATAAAGAGGCTGTCCATATGGGGGACGCCATTGCTGATTTGGTATCTAAGATGCAGGGTGCCATCTTGATTCAGGCTTTAACAACTGGTGAGTAAGGATGAGCTTGAGTTTGGACCAAACCCATGTTTGTCTGAGTTTAAAATAAAGGTGTCGGTGACCGCCCAATCAGCTTCTGCCAGGACATTCCCCACTCTGCAGCTGCAGGTGAACAAAGGGGTGGCATGCTGATGACATCATTGACCTTATAGGCCCACATGGCCATGTTAGGTCAATGTCATTTCATATGATATAATTTCAATGATGTCACCAGCATCCCGCCCCTTTATTTACATCCAGCTGTGGGACAGGGAATGCCCTGGCTGCAGCTGACTGGGCTGGCACTGACCGCTTCCTTTCATGTTTGGGTGAACTCAAGTTTGGACCGAACCCAAGCTCATCCCTACTAGTGAGTTGCTGTCATAACAAGCAAGTAATAATTTTCAGACATTACTGGAGGCATTATTATTCAAGGTGAGTGGCTCAAAAGGTTGAGAAGGCAGGATCAGGAGGAGAGACCCAAAGCCTGTACCTTTGACTGTCATAATTAGGGAAGAGGGACAGAGTTTGTGAAAAGTCCCCTGACCTAATAATACTCACCCGTCTAGCCATCCCCTGCCAGTCCTTCCATCGCAACCACCAACAAAATACCCATTGATGGAGGCGATACCCCCCTTTGTCATATCCTAGGGCTAAGCAGTTGAATCTAGGCCAACAAGTCATTATGGGAGTAGATCACATGCACCCCAATGTCTTGTTAGCATTTGATATTTTGTACTGGCTATGACAGAGGAAGGACTGGCAGGGGATCACTGGAGAGGTGACTGTCAAGGAGTCAAGGGGGGATGGGACGACTTTACACAGGCTTTGTCACTTTACCTTGACAGTGTCTCTATAAATACCATGCTTCAATGGCAGGTCACATATTCTGTCTTTGCAGTTTCACTTTAACATGTATTTCCACTTTTCCAGTCAAATTTGAGACCTGTATGCTTGTTATTTGTGTGAAGGTATGCTTCACACAGCATACCTAGAAATACATATTGTTTCAATACAATTCTTGTTTTTTTGGAACAGAAAAATGCAGAAGACTGCAAGCTGTTCTGAGCAATTTCAGAGCCACCTGGTGGGGACATAATCTCCCCCCCCATTAACATACAATGTGCCCCCCAAGCCTTGAGATCTTTAACCCTTTTTTAGGACAGGCAGTGTGCACATATAGTTGGCAACTGATAATGAGGGCCTGTCAGCACAGTATAGACAGAGTTAATTCGAGTAAACATAACTCCCCACAGCCCCCTCCTTAACATTAGATAGAAGGGGAAGCTAGGAAGGATTTTAAGCAAGTAAAAAGTATTTAAACATGTAAGCAACAATATTTAAATATTTTA